AAGAATAGAGTCAAAAAATATAGGTACTAAAAATTATCTTCTTATATTTCGGGGAGAAATTAAATCCTATATTGAAATCAATATTATTTTAATATCTATATTATCAATTTTTGACATTTTGTCAAAAATTTTTTGTCATAGCTATAAACATAGCTCATTTCGTTTTTCATTATGCATAACTTATTTTCACAAAGATAATTATTTATTAATTAATGAAAAAAAAGAAAACTTTTGATATATTTTACAAGTCAGTTTTATCGATTGTATTGTTTTATTGGCTGCGTTCAACAGAGAAAGCAGCTTTGCAACTATTATAAAATTCTTTAATATGAGTGGTTGATACATTTAGATTCAATAAGGAACCTTTAATATTCAATCATATTAAAGAATTTTATAACAGTTGCAAAGTTATTTTTTTCTGCTGAACGCAGTTCATTAAAACATATTTCCATATTAACATATTTTGCAAGGATTTTTATTTTGTTTTCTCGCATTACAATGTAGTAGTAATGAATGAGAGCCTTAAGTATCTCGATAATCCTCTAAGCAAAAATCTGCTTATAGCTAATCAGAAGCTTTTATATATCTATTATCAATTTACAATTTTGAAGCTTGGTCCGCGAAGACCCTTCATTTTAAAACGATCCCGATAATAATGTTTCAAAATTTCTATCCTAAACCAAATTGCCTCTGAATTAATGAATGTATAATGCAGTATCTACTTTAGAAGACGTTTTGTGAAAACAGTAGATGCATATTCTCACCGTCAAACACATCGTCGGTGGACGATGACGTGGACGATACTCTGCCAATCGGCGTGGATGGGCTGGAGACTTCGCTGGTGCAGGGCGACAGCGCAGATCCGGTGCTCCAGCTTCCGGCGATGTTCGCATCTGGAATTCGGAGATACCTCGTTGTCGGCGTCAATGACGTAGTCGCTGGTGTGTCCGATTCCGCGATATCCGCGAGATCGTTCGTACACGCGCGCTCCCACTTGAAAGCCGCCTTCACCCTGGTCCATTTGCTGATCTTCGGACCGCCGTTGCGATCTACGTTCCTCTCGGCATTTTTGTCGATCTCACCTATCTGCTCGACCAGGCGCGATCCGAGATTTTGCTCGGTCAGCGCGAGCGATCGGCTTCGCTGTCTCGATAAAGCGGATGATCGCACGCTCGAGCGTTCGTTCCTTCTCGGCGTCGAGGACGCGGCGTCTCGGCTATTCGACAGCATCGCGTCCAGCAGAGATTCCGCGAAACCGGTATCCTCGTCGACGAAATCATGATACAACTCTTCACCGTTTGCCAGAGCGATCTCCAGCCGCCGATTGGCATTTCGTTGCACCTTCGCACGTTCCAGACCCCGCACGCGCCGAAAGTACTCGGAGCTGCGGGTACGCAACTCCAGGATCTGCTCCGTCAGCGTGCACAGTCGGTCCAGGTGTTCGAACGCCTCTTCAGTGAAGGGGGTCGCATCGCCACCCATCGCCGAGGTCGCCGAGTTTGGCGTGGTGTCGTAGTCGAACGAATGACCCTCAAACGGCGATGCGCCGAGCTCGCCGAGATAAGCCGCGAGATCCTCCTCTTCTTCCTCGGGCCCGCGAGAAGTCACCCCCGAGCGATGATCTCGTACGAGGACAACCGGCGGGCATTGAGGATCCGGAGGTGGGGTCGGAAGTCGACTTTCCTCAGGCTTGTCCTTGACCCTGGCAGCTTTTCTTTGATCTCGCAAGCGGCTCGGGCCCGACCTGTCGAACTTCCTCTCGGCTTCGAACGCACCGGATTCCTCGGCCGGGCGGGCATTATTCTTTGCCATTGAATAGATTGCTGAGCGAAGACGCAAGATCTAAATATTCCGCAGAATGCGATGGGTAATATTTAACGAATGACAACTATGGGAATTTAACGATGCTGTCATCTTTTATGTGGTTTTTATTGAAACAGCGCCATAACGTGGCGTCACGCGGTTATTCCATCCATAAAATTAAATAAATTCGAATAATTTTAATATTCATACTGAATCTTTTCAGGTCTAAATCTTTATTCTTTAAATATTTGTTTTAATCTGTTAAACAATTTTATTTTATGTTTCGTTGTTTCAATAAATTAAATAAGCCGTAATATCGAATTTCTTCAAATTATTATTTGATCATAAAGATTGTTTTTTTATTTTGTCGTTATACGTATCGAGCTTCTTTGATTAGAAGAATTTTATTATGTATTCTTTTATGCTGCTGATATATTTCGTTTACTTTGATTTACTCGAAGAGGTCCGAATATCTTCGTCCAAATGTTTGTAGATACTATAATAAATGTTCGTTGTCAGATTTGTTTCTGTACGCTCTGGCAGACGGAAATGCGATCTATAAATTGATGGTACAAGCGAAGTGTTGATTCCTCCCGTAAACATCCGATCGTATAAATATTATGGGAAACGAACGCGCGGTAATGGATCCGAATGCACTAACGCCGCTTCTCCGAAGCGCTTTTTCTTTTTGCTGTAAGAGTTAGAAAAGCACAAAAAGTACAAAGAAGAAACATCAATTCCTTTCTTTATTTATGTGTCACTGAAACTCTCCGCCACAATTTACGCTTTCCGTCTAGTCTTTATATGATTGCTTCATCGAGTTTCTTAATTGATTTCTTTTTTATCCGATCGATGTTTATAGTGTAACGTATTCAAGAATTTAATATGCTAAAATTTATTAAATTTTATTACAGCATGTAATATTAACATTTACTGTATTAATCTTAAATCGCTTATTTAAATATCTATTTATATTGATTGAAAAAATACCTTTGTTTTACGTGGTGCACGATTTCTTTGTTACACTCCGTCTGAATTTCCTCCACGTCTTTATCCGAACAAAGAAGGGAATGATGTTACATGCTTCGACGGTCTGCTTCATTTTTAATTTTTAAAAATTATAAAGTTTCATTTCTAAAAGTTTATTTTATATATAGTTCTTTTTTCAAAATACGATTAATATAAAGAATATCTTTATTATTAAGAACATCTTTATTACTTTTTACCACCCACGTACACTAATGGTATTGAAAGACTCTCGATGGAGCTTCGATTAATTGGTTGCGATTACATCCATGTGAGACGGCCTCCTTTGTTCTTTATTTTTTCGTTCGATCACCAAGTGAAATTCGCAGATTCACGTTCCCGGTGCACTCTCGATCGTCTTGCCCTCGCGACGGCCTCCGAAGCGACGGGAATTTGCTCGCGCGACCTCGCGAGGTCGCCTCTTCGCTGCGAGAGCGAGAAGCTCGTCGGACGCCGCGCGTTTCGAGACTTCGGCGATAGCGCGCCGAATTATTTTCGGTGACGAGCATTCGTCGTATGTATTTACGGCGGATGCGTGTGTGCGTGTATTGAGTACACGTACGAGTTGCAAAGGCGTCGCGACGCCGAGACGAGAGTCTCGCGCCGGGAGACGCGGGCATGCGCGACTGCTCGCGAGAGCGTTCTTCCTGTTCCCGTCGAAAATAGACGGGAAGGCGGCGGGAAGACGCGACCGTACGGTCCTTATTTATAAGCGCCGCGGAATGACGCTACCGATCATAAAGCTCGACGTGCTACTTTCGCCGAGCGATGGAGAACCTTGCGGAGAGCTTCGCAATCGTTAAGAATTGTGTGGGTCTATTAAGAAAATGTAGAAGATCCAATAGCCAGATAATAATCCTCTGACGCTAAAATTTTAAAACGTACACTGAGAAAAATGGTTTGGTTGGATTAAACAGTAATTCTGATGGAAAATGAATGAATCAGAATTTTCTGGTTAAATCTACTAGAATTCTAGTAGATTTAAGAATTCTAGTAGTCTCTTGAAATAATTAGAATTCTGATTGATATTATTATTCTGATAAAAATACGAATTCTAATAGATTTCTAATAGATTTTCCTAGAAATATTATATCAACCAGAATTCTAGGTATCTTAATTAGAATAATTCTAACAAATTTAACCGGAAAATTCTGTTTCGTCCATTTTCAACCGGAAATTTTTTCCAGTGTAATCACTACATTGAAAAAAATGGTTTGATTGAATAATAATTATTAACGATACTATATTAACGATACTATATTTTAATAAGAATAATCTAGATTTGTAGATGCAACATAAATTTGAATTATTGAATATTTAAAAAAAGAAGTTGATAATTGTTGAGTGGATTCAAGCTTCGGCGGATGAATTGATAATTCTAACTTGGAGATTGCAATTTAACAAATTCAATGCTAATAGACATTGGCAAAGGAAAGGCACGCAAAATAAAATTTTATTCGAGACAAAATACAGTCGCTTCATTCGTAAGAATTCTTCTTTTTACATTTCTGAAGTGCGAATTATTCCTTCATCGGTAATCTGGTTAAATCGGGCACTAGTAGCATCGCGATTGCCGCACCTGCAAAAGATATTTAATATTTAATACAGAAAATATGACAAACGATCGTTTTGCACCTATTAGGCTGGCCGATGCGACGATTATACTTAGAAGACAGGTCGTCTTCATAAAGAGCTGCAACGCGAAAAGCGTCAAGTAGGGAAGTATCTTCATCAGGCCCATCACTGTGCCTCTGGAAATTGGTACCAGAAACTACGAGTTTTATATCGCCGTGTCCGCAAACATTTGATTCCAGAAAACGCGTCTGATGGTCTAAGATTAGCTGAACGTGCCGGCCGTTCCGTTTTGCGCGACTTACCTCAGAGCGGTGGGATAATTTTCCAGTAGCAAAACGCACGTCGTCGTGCGTCCGATAGCGTAAGCGGCCAGGAAAATCGACGACAGAGTTACACGAATCGCGTGGTGCAATCGAAAAATAAGCATGAACGAGGCCAGGCCACCCGCCAGTCCCGAAAATACTGAAAGTAATCAGAGAAGAAGAGATTCTTTTATATAGAGTGTCTCGAAATTTGTGAATCAGAATATTATTATACGATATAAGAAAGTTTTCAAAAAATTAAGTAAAAATGTTATTTTTAAATTTTTATTTTAAGCAATAGTCTGTGAAATTAGATCAATTACAGATACGTTTAAACGTTGAAAAGCTCACTTACTAATATATTACACGTGCGATTCATGAACAGGTGGCTGTTCATAATCTATATTTAAATTCTTATATTTCGGAAATTATTGAAATAAAAATATACACGTAACTTTTTTACTTAATTTTTTGTGAATTTATTGTATTTTAATTCGTGAATTTCGGGACATCCTATTGTATATTAACATTCTGAAGCTGAGGTTAAAATTTGTAACAGTCACTAACGCTGGATCTATGAGACCCAATTAATTTGTACCGCCTAAAGGGTACTAATTAATTTTAGGAATCAAAATGACATAACTTATACATAAAAAAAATGTGTATATGAATATTAAATTTATTTTAATAAAACAATTTATTTTAATAACAATAAATTAAATTTGTAAATGTAATAAAGTATATAATTGATTGACAAGACTAGAAACTCCTTGAGATTATTTGTAATATGATCGTTATCGTTATCATTACTTTTTTCTGTCTGTCAACGATAATGATAGCATCATATTTTTACGATACGATAACGAATTCAGTTATTTTTATGATTACTTTAATCTCCTATTTATATATATATTCAATAAATCGCACATTATTTTCGATTGGATAGAAATATTATTACAAAAAATAAAAGTACAATTTTTTTCGATTTAAATAACGATAATATATTTTCTTTTTAAAATTAGTAACAAGTAATATAATGTTATTTTATATAAAGTAATGTTGCTAATCTTGTTGATTGAATTCAATAAACTTGTCATCGATTCTGGAGGGTTAAAATGATATCTTAACAAATATAAAAAAAATGTTAAGTCGACTGATAATTTGAGAACTGTAAATATTAGAAAGAATAATATTTCAGACAAAGAATGCAGAATTTTGAGAGCCAATTAAATAATGCATTTTAATTGAATGATCTTAATAGTGATAGCGATTCTTGGCGACTTTAGATGCTTACTTAAATACGGCCGTCTGCCAACGACATCGATTCCAACGATGAGCAATGTCTCTCCTAACACGTAGCCTAGTGATATCAGCAACAGCAGTTCGAAACGAGCGTCGTTCACCTTATCACAGTTTCGCAAAAAATCCAATACCATGTTCTGAACGTTGACATTACATGTGCCACTTACGACGTAGTGTTCTTCCATTTCCTGGAGAACGTGCGTGTTCCACAAACCGAGCCAAACGAATCTTAAACATCGTTCTCGTGATTCTTCTTGCAATCGAAGTGCAAGAGACAGATAGCTTACAGAGAAACCTCTTTTATTACCCGGGAAAATGCAGAAAACACGCTAATATTCCGCACAATGTCACACGCTTGTATGGAGATTTGTGCACTCTGTGAATCCGTTCCCAAGTTTTCGTAAAGTATCTTTGAATATTGCCAGCTTCATCCTCGTCGTCTGGACGCACACAGCCTTCTAAATCCCTGATCTTGTAGAGAATAATTTCGAAGAAATAAAAATTAACAAATAATATAAAATCTATTTAAAAATAATTATTCATCTTGGATATTTCACTCCAAATAATTTTATACGTACGCTGGTTTGTTAAAAAAAATTTACTATATGATTGTTTGTCAATACAATTAAAAAACTCTAAAAAAATAAAGTTTTACAGAAAAAATCTTATATTAAATCTTATATTAAGTCATTAAATACTAAGGAAAAGTTTTTAATAAAATATTAGTAATAAAATAAATTAATTTTAAGTAAGTTTAAATAGATTCAAACAGGATTCAACAAGATTAAAATATATCCTTTAACTACAATAAATAATTTTTCCTAATTGTGTATGTTAATTTCTTATCCCTATCTACAATCTACATTGTTCTATATTTACTATCTATATTCCTATTTTATTTCTTTCCACAACCAAGCTTAAAGAATTCTCCGTTCAAGACTTGAGCGATAGCAAGTGAAGAAATCGATTAGGAAATTATAAGATCTTTTTGACAAAGCGTGTCGAGACGCCGTACCGGATAGGTATTGATGTGCTTCAAATTATTGATGGCGTACATCTGTTGGAGCACCGCGAGAGCTTGTCTCGGTCGTCGACGAAGCAACAAATACCGAGGACTCGGTGGTAGGAGACCTGAAGTGCAGGCGATCACCAGGCTCGGCGTACCGCAGACAATGGCGAATACTCGCCAAGAACTTGGTCGGAATTGCTTGTCTAACATACGTATGATGGACGGTATCATGGACCAGGAAATGCCTTTCCAAACAAAGAAGTCTCTCTAAGATTTTTCGACATAAAACTTTTGCCGATGAGACAGAAACATAATTCCAGTAAAGTATTTTATAATGTTTAAAATGTTTAAAATTATTTAGTTAGATGAGAATAAATATATACATATACATAGCTCGACTGATTAATTCGTTTTTAATTTTCGTCTATAATTGAATCTTCTAATTTCCTTATCCCATTAATGTTAAATTAAAAAAAAAACCCAAAAATAAGATTATCTTTAAAAGTCGCCGTTGTAATTTTTTAAACAAATAAATGATGCAAAAGTAAAAAAGATTTATGTATGTAAATTAATAATCCAGTAACCAAGTTTTTTTTACACACATTGAAATTACATTTTAACGTCCAAAATGTTAATATATTAGAAATGTTAATATGTTAGAAGTATAAAATATTTAATAAAAAGACTAAATTAAAAATTGAATTAAAATCATAATTAATAATTAAAGGTGATATTTAATAAATTTAACGCAAATTGTAAGAAATTATTTGTAAAATCTTTTGGTTACCTATGACTGATAAATAGCCGACTATCCAAAACATGTCGATTACTGCTAAACAAGTCCCTCTCTTTTTCATCGGTAGGCATTCGATGAGATAAATTCTCAGAACAATATTATTTCCAGCTACTCTATAAACATAAATTCTATTTCAACGACATAATGATCATTCCATTAATAAAAACGCGCACTTTCATTATCATGCAATTACGAATGCATCAATCAATATTGTGACGTTTCTGCAAGCGACAGTAAACCGCATGAGTAAACGCTAGATACCTTATTCATTAAATGCAAATTAAAAAGGTGTATTTTTAAATATTTTATCAATTTATCTAATTAGCAAAACAATTTCACAAATGTAAATTAATCATTAGATCATATCAAAGTTACGTAATGTGTCTCGTTATAGTCAGATTTTATTCAGAAATATAATTGATATAATATATTATGACAGTTTTTTCGAAATAATTTTGTCAAATTTAGTCTTCATAATATTTTTCGTTTCTTTGTATATCAAATATGTAAGCAAAAACTTTGTCATTTGTTATTGCATAAACAAATAAAAATTTGTAATGACAAATAAAGATTTGCAAATATGAATCATGATTAATATAAAAAGTAAATAATGACTTTAAAAATATTTTTTAAACTCGTAAATCATCGCATTTTTTTTATCGTTTTAATGTCATGTCAGATGTCCTGAATTGTATAGCTTTCATTATAAAAGGAACTTACCCCATTCCGAATATAAACACTGACAAATTTATCAAAAAATTGACTTGAGCGAAGGAAAGAGAAGCTAAGGCGCAAAACACGATGCTCATAGTAATCGGGATCAATTTTTTACGGCCTGCAACGTCTGATATAGTTCCAAACAGAAAAGCACCTACTGCCATTCCTGATATTTAAAAAAACATATAACAAAGCGATATATTAATATATTTATAACTAAAAATCTTTACGATAAATTTTACAGAGACGAGAAATATAAATTATAAATTTTTTAATATTTCCTGTTTCATAATATAATTAATTCGACAAAATAATTTAAATTAAATTGTTAATTCAGCTAATTTTTAGTATAAGATTCATAAAACAGCAATTTTTTATATCGTATACCAAGACTGGAAATAGCGATAGGCATTATGGCGTGATCTCTGTTGAGCTTTAAATCGCACGCTAGTAGTGGTGCCACAATGGGAACAGTCAGAGAAGTGCTTGCTTCCGCAAACGACAGTAAACCGCACAAAGTGACGATGAAGTAATGCCAAATACCCCATCCTTCATTAAATTTACAAATTGAAAAAGTGTACTTTTAGATATTTTTCTAATTAACAAAACATATTTCACAAATGTAAATTAGACATTGCGCAATGTCAAAGTTACGTAATATATCTCGTTAGACAGGTCTGATGTGATAAAATAAGTGATTTATCCGAAAGAATATAAATCGAATTTTTCGCTCCTTACCTGTTTCAGTTATTGCAGTTTCGCAATCGTCACTCATGAAGATATAGTGCCTATCTTATCACAATAGAGTAAAAAATTCGCCGAAGAATAGGTTATTAAATCAAATGTCGAACATAAAATGAAGTTCTCTGCAATTTATCGGTTCGACTCTCGCAGATTTTTATATTTACGCTGCGCTCGAAAACATTATTAGAGTACCTCCGAATGTTAAACAAGAATAAAATGATACTGGAATGTTTTCGCGATAATTATCGCTTATATACGTCTTAATTATTAATTATAATACGAGATCAATAAAAAAAAATTGAGTTATCATTATCACCAAACATGTTAAAAATAATTTTCGACGACTTGAACTTTGCATTTTAATGTAATTATTCAAATCTTTTCCTTATCAAAATTTTAGTTTCATTGACTCAATATTTGTTAATCACATTGATACTCGTTATCACAACTAATCTGTATCGCTCGTCTGACACGTAATATTGATATGAAATAATTCCTAATTCATATATTACGTGGAATGATAAAATATTCTCCAAGAATATATAGAAAATAAATCCGTTTATTAAATTAAAGACGGATGTTTCAATGTGAATATCGCGAGATGTATATCTGATTATTCTAAAAACGGAAGTGAATGTGTTTAACTCGACAGCGAAAGAGTATAAAACACACATACACACACAAGATAATTAACAGTAAATATGAAAAAACATGTATGATTTTTATTGTCTATTGATCCTTGAAGTACTCCAGCGAGCCAACGACATCAGGTTTCATAGTTTTCTTGCCAGGTTTCCAACCGGCTGGACAAACCTCGCCGTGCTTATCGGTATACTGGAATGCTTGAACTAGACGTAGAGTTTCGTCCACGGATCTACAAATATGCAACATAAAATTATTGTTAGCAATAAAATTATATTGTAACGATCAATGCTATGCTTAAATGATATGTTTTGAAAATTTATATTACAAGATGCAAAATGAATTTATTATAGTTTTAATAATTATGCAAGTGCTTCACCTTCCTACGGGTAAATCATTGATGGTGACCTGGCGTAAAGTCTGCTTGTCGTCGATAATAAAAAGTCCACGGAAGGGAACTCCTGACTCCTCGTCGAGGACGCCGTAATCACGGGCGATTTTGCAGCTCTTGTCCGCTAACAGAGGAATGTTCATCTCGCCGAGACCACCCTGTTTGCGCGGTGTATTTATCCACGCGAGATGGCTAAAGTGGGAATCGGTAGATGCAGCAATCACATGACAGCCGATATCGGTGAATTCCTTCGCTCGGTCGGAGAAAGCGACTATTTCCGTCGGGCACACAAAAGTGCTGCGGCAAAATATTTATGTAATCATAATCTATCTAAACTGCCTTTATTTCCTATTCATCTAAAATCTTAAAGATATGTATAATATTTTTTAAATTTTACTTCCTAGTCTTTCGAATGTCAAATACTTTTTCGTTAAATCTATTCATTATAATTGAAATATGTACGTAACACAATTCATTTTAAACTTGATGTAACTAGCAGCGTGATTTTAGAACATAGAAGACCTGTTTTCCATAATCTTTTAGAATAGAACATGTATCTTTTTGTTATCGTTTCAAATGAATCAATTAAGAGCCAAGTATATGCAAATGTTAAGCAGTTATTACACAATACTTCTTGTAGCAGCAATTGAGAATTGTATAATTGTCTCGTTATATCCTATGCCCATATGATCGTAATGCTTACAAGTCCAACGGGTAGAAGAAAAGCACAACATATTTGCCCTTATAATCGGAGAGTTTGATATTCTTAAATTGTCCGTTCACAACAGCAGTGCCGGTGAAAGCAGGCGCCGGTTTCTGGAGCTGAGGTACTGGCATGATTGCTGCTATTTAGTCGCTACAACCAAGAATACAGAGAAATTTTATGTCTACTTTTCACATACATATCACGCTATTATTATGCATTCATAACACATAGCTTATTTCTAATGAGTCATTACACGAAATGATCTCTATTCTCGGAAGTTTTGCAATAAATTCGCATCTATATCCGCGCAATAAATTCATTACAAAGTTTTTTATCTTCGCGCACAGAATCCAAATAAAGCTTGAGATAATTAAAAGAAGCCGGTATACTAGAATTTGCGGTTTCTGATAACTTCAAATGATTGTTATTCTTTGTTTCTATTGCCTATGATTTCTGTGCTTTTTAATTGTGTCTCATAGCGAATTCGATTGGATTCAATACGCACTGATGTACATTAAAACCGTCATACACATTGACATAAAAATATATGTTTAATGTAAACATTAAACTTATATTAAACTATGAAATCCTCAATACATTTTATTATGCTGTCAAGCCAAATTTTTATTTTATAATTCAAAATATTTACATTTTACATTTACAGATTAAATCAGTGTACAATGGCTTTAATATGCATCTAATCGAATTCGCTATCAGACTTTATTCTTGTAACGTGTTTGTAAAGAAATGATTCTGAATGTAAAAAGTACATGTATTATTTATATTCAGTACAAGTTTTCAAATTGTGTGACAAGACTTTTGGAAATACCATGACAAGAATATCGTGCTTTAATAAAAGTACTTAAGATTAAATAATTCGTAAGTAGTCAGAATTAAGTCAATACTTAGTACGAGTGGATTCGACGATAACGACCACTAGCTAAACATTTATTCAACGATAACTTATGTAAAGTTCCTGCGTGTTTCATGTATAGACTTGTCATATATTATCAAATTCACACGGCACAATGGGTGCCGTTATCTCCGTATATTACTAAATATTTAATATGATTTAAAATGAATAAAAAAAACGTCGCAATAACAATACAATGGATAAAAAATAACACGATCGAAAAAAAATTCGGTAACATCGTAGAAAAATAATGTATTCAAAATGGTTTAAACATATAATTTATTTGTCGGAATTTGTGAGAATAAATAAAGGTTTTATTTAAATGAACCGTCAATGTAAGAAAAAGTTGTCTGCAAAAGTGACGACAAAAAATTTTATGAATAGTCAACTTGTCTATTTGAATAGCACATTAGTTGATTATAAGTCAGTGACATGTTTTTCTTTGCATCGATTAAGCGTTTAATTAAATTTACATAGACCTTTTTTATGCGTTCTGCGTGAAATAATATTAAACATTAATTCGATAATTCTTAAATTCTGATAATGCAAGAATGACGCTTCAAAGAAAATTTGATTTAGTATTTCCCAGAGACCGACAGGATGAATAGGAGAGATTAATCGAACTGGAATACCAGGTGGGACTTAGATTGCACAATATATATATATATATATATATATATATAAATAAGACACACACATATATACCGAGTATTTGAGAAAGAAAAAAAAGAGAATTCATACAAAGAAATTGTGTAAGGATAAGCTTTGCTTGTAAAGCGACTTCGTGTAGAACCATTGAAAAGAATACTTCGTCTAATCGTACAGACGACCTCGCATTGAAACAACTTCTTTGTCAGACAACTCCATTCCGACCACAATTTCAACTATAAATGTACATTCAGCGATAACCGCAACCTTACATTTCTTCTATTTCAGTTTAAAGAAAAAAATATACAAAGTGTCTCTAATTTTGTAAAATTTATTTTTTACTCTCGTATGTGCAGTAATAGGTTTCTTTACTTTTTACAGCTGAACTAATACAAACAAAAAGTATCTTCTATCATAATACACCAGTTTTTCTTTTTGTAATGATTAACTTTTTCATAAAGCAAAAATGAGCATTTGACAAAATAGGTTGTAAAACTAACACAGACCATAATTATTTTTCAAAACCGGTTCAAATTTCAATCTTTAAGAATGAAATTCACTTTAAAGATTTAGAGAGTAACTATATATGTATATGTAATCTATTATATTGCGTGCGATATAATAAATTAATGCATAATACAACATGTAATTAATGATATTTAATATCAAAACTCGATTTATCTTCATGTTTACAATATTGTTTCCGTTAGAATCTCATTAGATTCCGATTGTGTTCGTTTTCAATGATAAGATATTCTCAAAGGAATTCCCACGGGATAATATGGCTAATTTGTTCAGTAATTGTTCGGAAATTCGCTTGACGTTAGCTGATGAAGATTATCGCGCATAAATCCATACGTGATGCATGTCGGCGAATGCAACTGCTATCGCTCTGCATAACTACGTAAGCCGGTGAATTGCGTTAATTCGCGTTACGATAGAACGTTGAAATCCATTTAAAAAAATATGTCATGAATTCTTTATCAATATCGTTTTCTTTTCGCTGCGCTTACGCAAGCATTTCCGAGAAAGATGATTATATTGTAATATGCAAAAATTGATCGATCACGTTAAAAGAATCAAAAAGCAATTTCATTCCAAATATGGAAACAGTTTATTAAAAGAACACAAAGGGCAAAAAGAGGATGATATTTTATTTATATCTATTGTACGTCACATTAAATTTTTATTCCTAATTTATTTCTCTAATTTAATATTAGATATTTATCCTAATTTATTTCTCTAATATTTAATATTAGATATTTATCTTAATTGTATTGTGTTACGTTGAATTTCTAAGCTCCAATTTTCCTACTTCTAATATTTTTAATTTTATTTTTTATCCTATTTTTTAAATTTTCTTCCACC